GAAAATGTTGAACGAAATGAATGAAATGCAGATGAAACAGGGGATAAGAAGAAAAACGCACCTGAGTTTTATACTTCGGAAGTTCGCACCAAAGAGCAGGACGTGTCACCACCGGAAATGCAGAACACAGCTCTGAGAGACGAAGCAAGTTTTCTACCAACAATGACCAAATGATCTTCCCTCCAAAAGAAAAGGCTCAAATACGAACAATTTTTATTCAACGGATAAACCAAAAGCCGTGAAACGTGTTAAACACAAAGGAAGTTAGTGGGGACACGTGGCAGGCATGGGAAGCGTTTTACTCGTAAAACACCCACGGCTGTCCTTAAACCCCCCACGTAATCACTGCTGCATTTAATGCTCTTGATTGATTAGACATCTAATCCACCGTTCTTAAGCGATCGAAATTCATGATGATATTGCCAGGCATCATTACCGCGGGAAACAACGACATGTGAGTCAGACAACTACCGCGCCTCATACACAGAGACATATAGCTCACAACCTTGTCAAACGACAACACCGCAAGCTAGGGGGCATCTGATCCGGATATAATATAGGCCCAAACAGGGCCTAATAACACATAGAAGCCCAAGCCCATTAAGGACCCAGAACGAGGCATAAAGGACATACACAGACACGGTAACCCTATCGCGGCACACCCACGCGATGCCATATCGCGGAACACCAGACGCGATGACCCCATCGCGTCATACAAGGCGCGATGACCTCACCGCGACACACAAGACGTACTTACACACCTTGCAACAGGATACCTTCTACAGACAGTAAACTTAAGGGCCAAGGCAACGCCACCGCGCCCTCAAACCAGTAAGCAATGGACAGCTCCAGCTCGCCATAACTCTACTACTAGACACTATGGCGGCAAGCTCCTCAACATTTAAACCATGACAGCCACACTACGTTGGCTCCAAGGAACCTTTGCCTTCATCATGAAGAAAGGCATCCTCCAAGCACACATCTCTGCTACTATATAAACATACGATGTACCACCAAGGTACGGTCATCCTTTACTTTCACAACATAAACATCTGCCTCTGATACTAACTTAAGCATCAGAGTATCTTCGCAGGTACCCCCCATTTGGTGCAACGTGAAGGACGAAGTACAAAGAGCTCAGGGTCACTCCAGCTGCAATTCCAGGCCAGGCCAGTAACCACAGAAGGAGTCTCAACCGTGTGTGATTTGGGCTTAATACGTATTGGGTTGTCCCTACCGTATTTGGTCTGATCAGGCATGTAAGCTCAGGCCTTCACGAGCCGAGCCAAAGGCCCCTGACTTGTTTATCACCCCTACACATTAATAATTTAGCTGTACATCCTCTACGTTATCCGAAAATATACACTTAATTAACGAGATATTACTCCTAATAAAGATAATAATTAATTTTTTTCGAAAAAGTGAAATACTTTTAACCATAACTTAATATAAATTATGGGTTCGCTTTTTGTGCAGTTACTGCAGATAAGTTATCTGCAGTAAGCCCAATACGACGTCATTTTGGGACGGAAATCATGATATTTTTATAATTTTAATTTATTTCAGGGTTATAATAGTCTTTATATTATAGTTTTTTATGATTTTAATACCAAAACGACGTCGTTTTGGGAATAAATGCAGATAACTTATCTGCATTGACTGCAGAAACATTTTTTCCATAAATTATATCCTTGATTTAAATCATTTAAAATAAATAAATTATGCTTAAATCATTATACCTTATAAAAATTAAATTATATTAGAAGCATGACCAAAACTTTATGTTTTGCGAGGGCATCCCCCTTTTCATCTTTTGTTTAAATAGATGAATTTCTTGACTTAGGAAATTCAAGTTCTCCCTATGTACATCATGTCCAAGTAAACAAATTCTTTGAACGTGTACATACTCAGAATAAAGTTTTATATTTTAAATTCTGTGTACAAATTCTTGCCATATCAGTATAAAGTTTTATATTTTAAAAGTTTTTAAATTCATCTGTATTTTTTTTTCTTGTGCATACACGAAATAACTTCATATTGTGAACACACATACGAGTGAGTGAAATCCTATGAGAAAAATAAAATAAAATAAGATCTATCTACTTTCATATGTATTTGCAGAAAAGACATTATACCCTTTTTATTTACATATAAACCATTCAATTATGCTTAAACACTGTATTTGGCGTTCTATCATGTTTCTACTAATAAAAAAAATCAAATTTTAATTATCTTATAAAATAGCCCTATTATTTTTAGAATTTTCTATATAGAAAGTTTATTTTTTAAAACTCAAACCTTAAATAAAAATATAAATTATTTTATTATATTTATTATTTACACGGGATATTACTGTGACATTGTGTCCATTCAAAAGTAACATACACATAAGTTTACCAAAATAAAAATAAAAATAACATACATATATAGATGTGTCAAAATGGGTCGACACGATATGAATTTGACACAACAAGAATGTACCCAATATGAATACAATACGAATTTTTATTCGTGTCAAAATTTTCAACATGAACATGACATGATTTTTTTGCGGGTCGACACGACACGACGCAAATGACACACAAACTATGAGTCAAAATGGTAATTGACCAAAAAAATTAAAAAAATAAAAAAAAGTAAAAAGTAAAAATAATAATTGCGGGTCGAATTATTGTTGACACGCAACTCGACACTAATTTTTTGTAGGTTATTTTTCACAAGACGAACTTGACACGAATTTTTTTTGCGGGTCAACTCCAACACAAATTTTCGTGTCATGTTGCGGGTCGACTCACGTATCATAATGTTGTGTCTCGGAGTCTGGCAATTCTGAGCTTGACTTAGGAATTGATTAGTCCGGCCTTATTTAGGTTGGCCTGCAGAAGCGACAATGAACATTTAGAATAAAATAAATTTAAAATCAGAGATAAGGAGGAGGAGAACACCAAGAATTTTAACGTGAAAAACCTCTTCGATGTAAAGAGTAAAAACCACGGGACTAAGTCCAGAAAAACGTCCACTATGAATAATGAGATTACAAAAGATTATTTTTGACTCAATAACTAAAGGACTTCACCCTCTAAAGGATGTATCTACTCACAAGTGGCTCACACAAGTGTTTCTGTCTGAGAAAGGGATAGAGAATTCTATTCTACAGGGTAATCTTCTTCTTCAGCAATGGTGCATGATTTCTTCCTCAATGAATCTTTATCTCTGCCTGCACTTTCTCTTACGCGTTTCTCTTTTTTCGCTTCTATGTCGTTTCTCTTTTTCTTCTTCTCTATCTTATGACTCAACTTCTAAGCATCTCTTATAAACAAGAGATTAGGGCATTATCAATTTAGACCGGATCCATCATAAACCACGGATCCAACACATAACATGTTTTGATACCACTCACATATTTTTAAAGATTCACTAGGTGGATCCTCTTTTTCCTCTTTTTCCTAATCTCTGCATGCACATTGAATAACTTGTTGGGATAATTCTTATTAGAGTTCGTCACTTCTGGAGTGACAACAGTTGAGAAATTTTATAATAAACATATTTACATTAGGATTTGCATGCGGATCCTGATATTAAAAAAAAAAATACGATCCTAATTTTCTATATATTGCTTCAAAATTTCTCATATACAACAATAGAAAAGGTATTAAAGCCTTCTTATTATATCAATTTGTTTGATGCTAAATTAGTTGCTTCTACTATTTGTGTTTTGGGGGCTTCCCGTGTATCCATTTGACTAAGCTCTTGTTTTTTAGTTTTATTGTGGACTCCACCTATTTATGAAAGTAACATCATATTAGATCTCTATGTTTTCTTCTCATTTTTATTTAGTGTTCTAATTTCCTGGAGCTGACAAGTGAAAAGCATTACTTAGTATTATTTTTCAAAGTAATAATGATACATGTAAGAGACACTCAATCACAATCATCACATTTCCTTCTCTTTCTCTCCCTCCAGTTTTTATTTGAGGATGTCCCCATCAATGCTTTATATTTTATTTGAGGTTTTTATGTAAAGGTTTAACAATTCTGTTTTTTTGGCCAGAAATTATATAAAAGAATTTTATTAATTTTTTCTTCTTTGTATAATGAAATTTATTTGTTTTTATATGAATATGATAAAAATAAATTTCTATAACAAAAATAGAAATATTTTCCACTTTTATGTTTCTTAACTGTTTTCAGAAGAATTTAATGTTTATATAAATTTTAAATTTTTTTATATTTACATTAAATAATAAGGACAGATTATATTTACAAACTTTTTTGTTTACAAACTACATTATGTAGGACCGGTCCTACATTAATCACACAGTGTACGACCGGTCCTACATTAGTGTAATTGAAAAAAAAAATTGTAAACGGATCATGTCCCTAAATAATACAAGCATTATTAGGTTAAGTTTGAAATATTATATAATTATCAAGAGGTAGGATCCTTTGACACCAGTGTCAAAATTCAAATTTGACACCTCACCTAAGAGTCATTAGATCAAAAAAGATCAACGTCTATGATTTGCAAGCATGTGACACCGTTGATCTTTTTTGATCTAATGACTCTCAAGTGACGTGTCAAATTTGAATTTTGACACTGGTGTCAAAGGATCCTGCCTCAATTATCAATATAGTTAAAATTATTATATAATATATTAATACAAGATTAAATGATTATACAAAAAAATATAGTAACAACATTAATTTTCAGTATTTTTTTTTGTTGGTTATGTACCAAAATCCCACCTGTTTCTCTTTTCAATCACTCATTCAATATGATGCGAGGTTCACAATGAATGGTTCTACATTGGTCCTTCACCTTTTTGTAAAAACTACAGTCCCTACTTGCATCTTTATTCTTTGGTGTATGGACTACCACCCTTTTCTCATCCACAAACTCAAAAAAGCGTATAGAGCCACTTGCGTGGCCTTATCTTTCTTTTCGCCATATTTATAGCTGTTTGTTGTGAAACAGTACCATACTGTTGTTTCTCCACGTTATTCGGGTCTTTTCTCTTCACACACAAAAAAAAAAAAAAAAACTACTTTGTCTCTCTCTCTCTCTCTCTCTCTCTTTCCAAAAACCATTTATCACTCACTATAGCATGTCTCTAACCATCAAACTACACATACTTTCCCAGTTGAATGTTAGCAACTACCATGCAAACAAGTTAACCAACAACACTTGTTCAAACTACAACACAAAGATTCGTCCCAAAACCATTTACAACAACAACAACTACCCTTTGATTATCACCACGTGTAAAGTTAAGCCAAGAATGAACACAGGTTCTTCTTATGGTAACATAATCAAGAGCTCTTTGATAGAGCCTGATGGAGGGGCATTGGTGGATCTTGTGGTGCCTGAGAATCTGAGAGGTTCTAAGAGTGTTGAGGCTGAGTCACTTCCTAAGGTGAAGCTCACAAGGATTGATCTTGAGTGGATGCATGTTATAGGTGAAGGTTGGGCTAGTCCTTTGAAAGGGTTCATGAGGGAAGATGAGTATCTTCAGAGTTTGCATTTCAATTCCCTTAGGTTGAAGGATGGTTCTGTTGTGAACATGTCACTTCCCATTGTGTTGTCCATTGATGATGCGACCAAGGAGCAAATTGGGTCTTCTTCACATGTGGGGTTGATTGGACCTGATGGTGATTGTGTTGCTATTCTTCGAAGGTTAGTTTTTTTTTTTTTTTTTCTGGATTGTGTTTTCTAGCTGATTATTCAATTGTTATTTATATGGATTTTACTTGTATGGTTTAAAGATTAACGTGTGCCTCCATTTGAATCCCAAATGAGAAATTAACATTGCAAAGCTGATTCCTTTGAATTTTCAAAGCCCCCAAAAAGGGTTGGTTGTTTTACCTCATAGTTTAGATTATTTAAGTTCGATTTCTGCTGTGATTCTCCTTTGGTAGATGATTTGTAAGTATCAATGTGACCATGGCTGAGGCTTATGGCATGCCCTCCTATTATAAAACTGAACCTTAAGCTTTATTAGGTTTGATCCTCAATTGAAGGCTGAGTGATGTAGAACCTTAAGTCAAAGGAACAATTCACAAAAATTATCTATTGAACTATCTTAGTCAAATTACACATTTTCCCCCATGTCTCACACGTTAATACACCCTTTAAGTTGGAGCATGTAGATTTGAAATACCCAACTTGCTGAGCGAGAATGGGAATTGTTTCCATCCCAATGCTCTAGTGAAGATATTGGCAAACTGCATGTGAGTGGCTCTGTGTCGTGGAGGTATTTCGTGTGCTTGAACATGTTCACAAACAAAATGGCTGTCCATTTCCAAATGTTCGGTGTGTTTGTAAAAGAGTTAGAAGATATATGGACTAAGGCTAGGTTGTTGGGGAAAAAAAGGTATGGCAGTGGAAATTCAAACTCCAAAAGTAGATATTAGTCTTTAGTTACTACCAAATTATTTCTCCTGCAACTTGCAATAGGCATTTATGGAATGATTTTAAATGGGCAGAAGATAAGTCAGTAGCTGTCATATGATCTAACTCTAAGCACTGGCGTCTTGTATCCGTTCTTCATGGACATGGATTTGATTGAATTTTGAAGAGTCTTACCAGATAAGACAGCATTACTGTGAGATTTTCTAGTACTTAAAAAGAAAGGAGCTGCTCATTCTGCTCCTTATTCAAGCTGGTTGTAGGAGAGCCCAAATGATTGCTTTGGATGATATTGGCTATGACTGGAATTTGAACATTGTTGGCCGCCACGGTATTTGATCTTTAGGTCACCTATTTTCCCAGTTTGGAGGGAATCCAATTAGCTCAAAGCATTTAGATTTATCTCGGCCCAATTTGTTAAAATGATCACATCTCACATTAGAGCAATGCCACTGCCTTGCTGACAAGCAAGGTGCTGGCTTCATTCTTCAAGTTTTGGGAGGCTAGAAAGTTTTGTTAAGCCTCCTCTCTTGATACCATGTTATGAGCCTTGCTCAGGTTAGGTAGTTCTAGTGACTCAAAGTTCAAAATTTGAGATCGCACATCACTGCAAGCATTGCTAAGTCCCATGAAAAGCCGCTGGACTCTCTTTTTCTTTCTTGTTACTGAACTCCTTGGCTGCACCACAAGTGCATTTGGGAATGACTGAATGTTTCCAGTTCATCCCACATAGCATTCATCTTGGTGAAGTATGCTGTCACAGTCAGCCTTTGAGATTGATCCACAATTCTCTAGCCTGTCTGTATAGTCATCACTATCCTGAAAACCTTTTGACGGTGAATAAAGAGGCCAAGAGATTACCATGTAATTGTACTTCTCACAGGCATACTCATATGAGGAAGTTTCAGTAGGTTTTTTACAGATCCATATTTGTTTTTGGCACACAGGGTATTGGATATTGCCCCCGTATGAGTGGCATAATTTTCCCCTTAGAGCTGGTAAGTAACCAAAGGAGTGCTAGGGATTATATGAAGAATTAAGGGAATAAGGTGAAAAGGGATCAAGAGTTAGGTTTAGTGGGTTTGTGAAGCTTGAGACGTTCCTGGCTGTAAAGAACCATTTTAACCCAAAAACTTAAGCTATTAAGTGAAAGCCCATCAATGGTTTATATACTTCTCCAACACGCACCCTCACAAGAGAAGCCCATTGGGTTTGAAAGGTGGATGATGCATCAGGTCCAGCCTACCTGTGCTAAAAAATTCCACAAAGAAAATGGGGGGCGACGAGGATCGAACCTGGGACACCGAGGCTTTGATACCATGTAAAGAACCAATTTAACCCAAAAGTTTAAGCTGTTTGATGAGGTTATTTCAATGGTTTTATATATCTCTAACACGCCCTCTTATACGAGAGCCCATTGGGCTTGAAGGGTGGACAATATACAGGTTCACCTACCTGTGCTAAGAAATTCCACAAGAGAAAGTAGGATTGAACATGTGACATCGAGACTCTAATATCATGTAAAGAATCATTTCAAGCCAAAAGCTTAAGTTGTTAAGTGAAAGCCAATCAATAGTTTATATACTTCTCTAACATTGACAATTGGGTTTGTGCCTTCTTCCATGTAGCTAAGATAAAGAATTTTGAAAATAGGCAGGGCAAGCATGCTGATACCATATAAAATTGAACAATAAGAATTCTCATTTGTGTGTTTGGAATGTACAAGACTATGACTTTATACAGGTATGACCCTCAATTGAAGGCTAAGTAAAAGGCTGATCGAGTGAAAGACTAAGTAAAAATTCCTAAGAAAGAACTATAGACCTATCCCAAATTACATGTTTTTTTCACGTCTCACATGTTAATAGTTGGATAATCGACGTTCTTCTCTTCAATTTTCACTCTTGTCTTTTGCTTTAGTTAGTCATGAAGTCATTTTGAGATGTTATTTTGAAAATAAAATTATTGAAGTGCACTGGCCATCTAAATAAATTCCTGTCATGGTGTCTCTTAGCATTCATTAACCATTAAACTCCTATGCAGTATTGAAATCTACAAGCATAACAAGGAAGAAAGAATAGCCAGAACTTGGGGAACAACCGCTCCAGGATTGCCATACGTTGAGGAGGCGATTACTCCAGCTGGAAATTGGCTTATTGGAGGAGATTTGGAAGTTCTAAAACCTATCAAATATAATGATGGTCTTGATAACTACAGGCTCTCTCCCAAACAACTCCGTGAAGAATTTGATAGACGTGAAGCTGATGCTGTTTTTGCCTTTCAGTTAAGAAACCCTGTGCATAATGGTCATGCCTTGTTAATGAATGATACTCGTAAGCGCCTATTGGATATGGGCTACAAAAATCCAATTTTATTGCTTCATCCTCTTGGAGGTTTCACAAAGGTTGATGATGTGCCCTTGGATGTCAGGATGGAGCAACATAGCAAGGTAATTCCTATTTTTCTTCTCATATGGCATTGAGTAATAATAATGTGCATGTGATATAACAATATATGCTAAAAAATGATCTCGGAAGTGATTGAAATGTCATTCATTTTCATCAGTCTATTCATTTGTAGTTGCACAATCCATGGAATTTTATCCACTTATTATCAAGTTCTTTGTTTATTCTTAGGTCCTAGAAGATGGAGTTCTTGATCCTGAGACTACCATAGTTGCTATATTTCCATCACCTATGCATTATGCAGGTCCAACTGAAGTACAGTGGCATGCCAAGGCACGAATAAATGCAGGTGCCAACTTCTATATTGTTGGTCGTGATCCTGCTGGTATGGGTCACCCAACTGAGAAGAGAGATTTGTATGATCCTGATCATGGGAAAAAGGTGCTCAGCATGGCTCCTGGTCTTGAGAAGCTTAACATTTTGCCATTCAGGGTAAGTAGTATTACTTTTACACACAGCTATAGGTTATTGCTCCTCTATGAGACTATGTGAGATATTCTTCTTCACAATGCTTTCCATCATATTTTGTACTAAGTTTCATGAAAGTTGATACTTACCCAATCAAATCGACAGCTTACTGATGCATACTATTTCTCTTATTGCTTGAGATGGGAAATGACATAATTTCCTTGTTCATTAATACATGAAAATTACTTTCATAAGTTTAATATGCAACCTGAAACTATGCTGATGAATTTTTTGTTTCATTTTATGACTATTTAGAGCATACTTGTATCTGATGATGACTGTTGTCTTGTTTTCCATTTTTAAATTACAGGTGGCAGCTTATGACACTAAGGAAAATAAGATGGCATTTTTTGATCCTACCCGTTCTAAAGATTTCCTCTTTATATCTGGAACCAAGGTACTTGATTCCCTATCATTAAGTAATGTGTTCCAGGCTCCATCAACCTTAAATTTGGATTTTGTTATTAATACTTAATTTATTATTACAACATAACTATATAGACAATGTATTACCATAGATTACAATGGCCATCCTAGTTCCTGCTTCTTGCTTGAAGCTGGCTGCAACTTAAAAAAAAGTAAATTGTATGTTAGTGAGTTTGAACTTAACCACCAAAGTAAGACATAGAGTGCAGCATTGGGATTTTACTAAAGTTTTATATGTTTATCTTCAAATTTATATATGATCAAAGTATGTAAAATGCAAAATATTAATAAGATGCTCATTCCTGTCAATGTGATTATGTGCGGGTAAGAGACATAACTAAAGTCAAATCCCTTAAGATCCTGTTGGTTCTGTTATTTGTTTACTCACATGTATCATCAAGCTGGTTTCTGAAGTCCTTTGACAATTGGACATCCGTTCTTTACAAATTTTTATGTTTGCTTTGGGTGATTAATTTTCGCAGATGCGGGCTTATGCAAGAAGTGGGGAGAATCCACCAGATGGTTTTATGTGCCCAAGTGGATGGAAGGTTCTTGTCAAGTATTATGAAAGTTTGCAGGCAGAAGAGCCATCACAACAGCCTGTGTTATCTGCTTAGACATGATAAGTAGAACTAGTGAAGTTTAGCATTAATTGACTCCAATTGAAGAGTGTTAAAAGTACAGTTCTGGGAGTGCCAATTTTTCTGCATGGTCTTCCAGCTTCATGATCAAGATTTCAGCAATGCGCAAGCATATTTGAATTTTTTGTAATATATTGAATTGTCTTGTCATTTTCTTATGAAGTTGCTATGATTAAAGAATTTGATGTTGTGTGTCAGACATAATTGCAGATGAAATCCTCTATCTAGTCTGAGACTCCTCAATATAAGGGTTAGAGAAATTCAGTGGAGCCATGGTGCTGATGGTTATTTAGAGAACCATGCTCTCATGTCTCTTTTTAACATGATTATGTTACATGAAAAATCTAAGTCATCAACAGTCACAATTTTAATGATAAAGCTTAGAAAACAGAGAAGGATCTATGAATGATTGGGATTTTTCATGTGATATGGTTATATTAAAAAAGAGACATGAGTTTCTAATACCCTTCATTCAATTCTTTCTTCATAGTCCTAGCTAGATGAAATGATTTTGTCATTGTTGCATAAAGTATGTGGTTGGAGAAATTTTTGTATAGATTTAGTGGATCGAACTTGGATGCATGGAGTTGTTAATAAAGTATCTATACATCATTATTTCTCAGTAAATAAAATTATATTAATCCTCTCGGGTACCACCTTTGGAAAGCGTTTAAAGCCTTAATCCTGGACCTGTCCGAATCGGATTAGTTGCGAAGCAATGAACCGATTGAAATATTTCCAAAAAAAAATAAAAATATATTAATCAGAGAATGTTTGATACATTGTATGGTATAAAGTTTGATATTATGATACTACAAGATCAAGTTATATAAGACATGTTATCGTAAGCTAATGCTTTTATCCTGTAAGTAAACTATATTTTTTTTTTGTAATGAGTAAATAATTCTTTTTATCTTGTTATAAATGAAGTTCAAAATCTTTCTCTCTCTCACACACACACGAGATCGAAATGAAAAGAGAGAAAGGGAAAAAGAAAAAAAGTGAGACAGCGATTTATTCCGATTCTTTTAAGGTGGGATATGTCATATGTCTAATAATATACACTATATTTTTCTTATCGATACATTTTACAAGTCACTTAGTTTATAATGAAACATAAATAGAATTAGAAATTTTAAGCAATAGTCATTATTAATTGGCTCAAGCCCAAATTATTAAGAATGCCAAGTATGAATGATATCCAATAATTTTTATTGATGGACACATCACAAACTAATCAACTAACAAAGCAGGAAGTAGGATATTTTCCGGGAAAAATTATTCTCATGTTACAAGAAATAAGTTTTTCTTTGTACATATTCTTCGATAACTGTACCATTTGTTTCTTTTCTTTTATTTATTTTATTTTTATAGATAGTGGATCCCACAAGTTTGTCTCTATGACCTATGATACACCGACACCGATACGGGACACGAGACACGACATGATATGACACGCCGACACATTAACACAAAAAAATATCATATTTCGACATGTTAGGACACATTTTGATATTAAATAATAATATTAATATATCATATAATTTATATTTAATGCATAAAATAGCCGATAATAAGTCATATAACCAATCAAATATTCAAATTTCATAACATAAATTTAAAGCAAAAGTAATTTTTCATACCTTGTTAATTTTTTAGGTCAAATTTCATAACAGAAAAAATTGACTTATAAATTAATTTTTGATTTTTAGTTAATAAAATTTAAAAGTTAGACCTTAAAAAAAAAAACGTGTTGGATCCTTGTCGGAGCGTTGACCACGTGTCCCAAAATGTTAATCGCGTGTCGGACGCGTGTCTGAACATGTCGGAGCGTGTTGGTGTTCGACACGCAAATTTTGAAAAAAAAAAAGCGTGTCCGTGCTATATAGTCTATGACATGAGATAACCTATCTCTTTTAACATGATATTAATAAAACCTATATTCTTATTACTAAATATTTCTATTACCAATTTACTATTATTTTAATCACGGTTGGATTTTATTTTTTAGCCGACAATCTCTCTGAAAAGTTTCCAAAGAATGAAGAAAAAAAAACAGCTTTTAATTTATTTTTTAGAGTACACAATTATATTAAAATGATAGATTTTATTAATCTCATGTAATAGGGAAGAAACTCTCTCATATTATGGAGACAATCATACGTGGGACCCATTCACTGTAGAAAAAAAAAAGTAACACGAAAATCGAAAATCAATATAGAGAAAAATACTTTTCTAAAATATAAGAATATATTTTCCGTAATAAAAATATTTGATAATAAAATTATTCTAGCACACAAGTACAGGGAAGAAATGTTGCAGTTAGGGCGCGGTGTCCTTGTCAGCAGAATCTGCAAATTAGAGATCGAATCAACAGTGTGATTTTAATTTCTTCCTATTCTCTCCCAAAGTAATGTAATTTGGGAAATTCTGATTCTGCCTTCAAATTCAATTGCTGCATACTTTGCAATCTTTTTTCTATTCTGCAATTCCTTTTTTCGTACCGCTTCCCCCAAATTCTTTGGTTTCACTTTATTGGCTTCAAAATTTAATTTTTTTTAATACTTGACTTCCCTGCGAGGTTTCTAGAACCAGTGGGGGTGTTAGAATGAGCACTGAAAGTGCTGAACATGAGGCAGTTGCAGCATCTGCTTGTGATGTTAGTGTTGATATTGAAGGAGTTGTTTTGTCCAATGGAGATGTAAATGGAGATCTGGGTGTTGTTAGCAGCAGGATGCTTACAAGGATGGATTTGAGTTTGGCATATTTCTCTGAGAAAGTTTCCAACTTGAGTATTCTTGCGATGCATCTAGCAACCATGGAGAGTGAATTTGAGGCCATAGTTTTGGAGAAGGGTCACATGGAGCTTGGGTTTTTTGAAAAGGGTCTTGAATTTGATTTGTTATCTGGGGTGTTGGATTCAGAGGTTAGAGAGTTGGATGGATTATTGGACACTTTTCAAGCTGGGATTGCTGAAGTTAGAGAGAGGGTGTTTTCTTGCACTCACATTGGTGATGCTTTCATGGCAATGCAAGACAAGTTGCTTGATTGTGAACAATATTTGAGGCAGACTGAAGAACAGTTTACTGAAATTAAGATACAGTCAGCTAGTTTCCAGAGGAATTTGTCTTCTTTTAAGAAGGCAGAAAATGGTATGCAGTGGATTTCATTTTATTCATTTCTTTACAAATTATTTGTTTTCATGAAGTTGTTTGAAAAGGTTATTCTTTTATGCCCGTCCTATTATCTGAGGGTCCTCTTCAATTTCCCTGTGAAATTGATTGTGTAAAAGCAGCAGGGGAATTCTATTACGGATTGTTTTTTTCACAAAATTGAAAAAGATTGAAAGAAAGGAAGAAAGTGCTGTGAAGAACATGGAACTGACTGGCTCAAAATTGCTCCTTCTTGATTGATGTGTGAGAAATAGGAATATATTTATGTGAATTATTCTGCATTTTTTATAAGGTTTCTTTCTATTTTGTTGGGGTCTTTTCAATGACAACAGGTAATGGTGAAGAGGGTGAAATTGTCAGAGAGGATGGTAAATCTTTGAATGTAAATGCAGAGATAAAACTGCAAACAATTGAGCAACAAAGACATATTCTGAGAATGCTAGAGAAATCCTTGGCAAGAGAAATGGATCTTGAGAAGAATTTCTATGATTCGAGAGAAATTCAAGAAAAGCTAAGACTGAGAATGTTCTCTTTGGAACAAGAAGTGGATTACATGGAGGAAGAAGCAATTGATGTTTGGGAAAAATTGTTTGAGGCGGACAATGCATGTGAGATCCTGATGGGAATTTCAAAAGGCCTGTTGGGTAGACTCCAGATTTCTCAGTTCAATTTGAATGGTGTAAGTCATCGTGAATCTGAGCTTCGAGCTAAGCTTGAAACTTTTGCCGAACAACCGAAAGCCAGAGATATTACTTTCGACAAGATTGAAAGCAGCACTGCTGAACTAAACAGCTCTCTTCTTGGTCCAACAAACGGTGCAAAAGCTAACCTGAAAGATGCTGAAGATAAACTAATTCTTGCCAATTCTGACGTCTTCACTTTAAGTGAAAAAGTATCTTTACTTGAGAAGCAGCTAAAAGAATCTGAATTTCAGCTACTGAATGTGAAGACCTCTGCTGATGAATATCAGAAGCAGTATAATGTTGGGTGTTCTGAAGTAAGAGATATGGGAAATCTTATTGTCGAACTGAAAGAAACTGTATCTATAGCTGAAAGTCGGGCTAATAGTGCAGAAGCTAAGTGTAAGTTATTGTCAGAGACTAATTCAAAACTCGAAGAAAAGATGGCTCTTCTGGAAGGTGGAGGAGTCATGTCTATGAGAGTGGATTTGCTTGAGAGGCAGCTAAAGGAATCTAATGTACAATTGCAGAATACAGTAGCATCTGCTGAAGCTAGTGAGGAGAAACAAAATATGTTATATTCCACAATTAGAGATATGGAAAATTTAATAAAGGATCTTAAGTCCAAGGTATCTAAAGCTAAGAGTCGGGCCGACAGTGCAGAGGAGAATTGTATCATACTGTCTGAATCTAATGCTGACTTAAATGAAGAACTTAGCTTCTTGAGGAGTAGATTGGAATGCTTGATGGGTTCTCTGCACCGAGAGGAGGAAGCAAAAATGGCAACTGCAAAGGATGTTGGAAAGCAGACTAAAGCTTTAAAAAATTTGGTTACACAGCTGGCTATTGAGAGAGAGCGTCTCAAGCAGCAGGTAAAGACCAAGTTACAGAAGTTTTATTTCAGGTTAACGAAGTTATAAATCTTTCATGGCCTGTCCTAGCTAGGAATGCCTATGGATGTCTAGGCTGAATATACATAATATTGATATGGATGTCTAATCCCTTGTTATACTTGTTTTAAGTGTCTGTCATCGGTCTTGACTTCTCGACCACTTTTGGTTACTCAGATTTCACAGAATATACATTGCTCACCTCTATAAGCATATTGTGCCTTGGTATAGGATGACTGCATCAACGATTTAGTGCCCATTTTACTTCTTTCATATGCATAAGCACAGTATGTGTGTGTTACAGACCTTGAGGTCACCACCCCAAAAGCTAGCTCAAAGCGTGGGAGTGCCCAAGGCACTTTAAACCCCACATTAGTTGTATAGGAAACCAATGTGGGACTTGTAACATTGCCACCCCTTTAAAGGCTGACGTCCACGGCGGCTTTCACTCTATCGACACTGACCCGACGGTAGCCCTTTCCCCCCTGGGCGGCTTCACTCACCTATCAGTATTCAGTGCCCAAAGGCACCTTAATCCAGCCTATAGGTAGCCCTTTCCGTGGCCTCAACTCTCAACGAAAACACCAATTGTTACGGACCTTGAGGTCACCACCCCAAAAGCTAGCTCAAAGGGTGGGAGTGCTCAAGGCATTATAAACCCCACATTGGTTGCCTAAAACAACTAAATTAAAAATTGAGAGTAAGAAGAATAAGCAGTAGTGTAACACACCGATCTGATGCACTTCCGTGTGTTTTTTCCAAAATTATTTTTAAATATGTAAATGATCCTAATAGATGAGATAGAAAAAGATCAATAACCAGTAAGACTTTAAAGTAACTCTACTTGAGTTTATGAATGATATGCTGAAATTTGAGATATTCCAAGGGAAGACCTTTTGGTATTTATAACTCAAAATCTTAGCTAAGATAGACTGAATAGGTTAAGAGCTTGGTTGTGCCACTATTTGGCTTGCTGAAAATGTTGTGTTTTATCTGCAGTTATCTTCCCTAGCAAGTGAGAACAAAATTTTGGTAGTGAAGCTAAAGCAGACATTTAAGTATCCTTCTTAAGAAGTTAGTGAGACTTCAGCCACTGGCCATGAGGTTGGTACTTTGAACTTTGTTAACTTTGCTCTTTGATTTGTACATGTAAATTGATTAATTGGATTAAAAAAGGGGGTCTGTTTCCATTTTTTCAAAAATGTTGTGTGTTCTAAAAAGTGTGTCTGGACAATAGTTGGCTATTTAAAAAATATACACAAGAACAAAAAGTCTAGTTATTTATTAATCAAGATAAAAGAAGATTTGAATATTCAAAGAAACTAAAGAAAACAGAAAAAAAGTGCATAGAGTGAAATTCTTATTATTACTCCTAGTTTTGCTTTCCCAGGTGTTAATTAAGTGAAGCCTCAGCTTCTATACCAGATGGTAGGAGTGTGGAGAATAGATGCAGGAATTCTTGATTTTTCATATCAGTTCTTGGTTTACTGGTTTCATCTCATCTGTTATTAATTTGTATTTCAACGTAAATTTGTTGGCTGTTCATGTATTAATTGTTAACAGGAAATCTCTAATTCTATTATGAGAAAAATGTTTATCCTTTTAAATGACACAATTTATATCCTTTCACTCTCACAAAGAGGTGGGATCCACATTTTTTTTTTTTGTTAACTCTCTCCTCCTTTATCTATCTATTTCTCTCTCTTAAAGTGACACAACTTTACATCCTTTAAAATGACAGATAATTTATCCTTCTATTATTATAGGTGTATAATGCAAAACCTTTGGAGTAATCAAAATTTGAGCTTAGGGGCGACTAAGGGACCCACAAGTTATGATGCTTTTTTGGGGTTAGATATAATATAACATATGATCCCTTCTTTTTATAACAATTGTTGTCAGGTGTGTGGTACTTTTGGATTTTTCTCTTAAGCATCTATCTTTATTGCATTTGAACCTTTGGATCTTTGACAAAACCTCCATGACACATGAATTGATCCGCGACATGACATATCAAAATACGAGTTGTGTTGATTTATGGAATAAAACAAGTCATGTACAGGTTCGATCAAATAACATTAAATGTTATCGTGTTTTATCACGGGTTGACCTATGTTGCACATGCAAAAAAAATTTGTCCAGTTTTTTTTTTAAAAATTGAAATTTTGGTGATTTTAACATAATCATTTGCACATAATGGTCAACCCACATATTTTATTTAGTTTTTTCCTTTGATTTTTATTTTTTTTAAGAAAAAAAATAAAATTTTAAATTTTGCACGTCAATCCATGTGACCTGCGGCAAGCGTGTCGTGTTTAGGTTAGATAATTTGACCCAGAGGTTAGACCTTGATACGACATGAATCTTATTTCATGACACATTTTGCCACCTCTACTTGTATGTGTAAAAATATATGAATAGTGTTGAAACTAGTACTTCGTTTATTTCAGTTGCACTCTGAAAAAAATTTAAATAATAAAGAGAAATAATTTGTACCAATAAAGTTCGGTACAGTTGGTAGATAACTGGGTCCATTAAATATGTTGATAGGGTTCGATTCTTGGTCATGTATATGAAAATTACTTTGTTGGTAGAGAAAATGACTTATAACTGAATTGAATTCTTAAAACTTCTTTATTTTATTTTTATTTTTTGATAACATTCTTTATTTTATATTTAGTAACATAAAAATAAGAAAAACAAATAAAACTTACTACGCATGAAGGCTATTCTTGCAAGATCCTACCATCAATTTAGAATTATCATTCGTAGGACCTCTTTGGTTGAATCAATTTAAAATCAAAGGTTGAAATTGGAATTAATGTAATCAATGAATTAATGTAACGATAATCAAACAAGTAACGAGGGTGACAAATTTAAAATGGTGGTGGCGAGTATAATATGTTGTCTCTTGTAACTATAATAATTATAAACAACTTTTATATAATAATTCATTACATTTGCAACTAAAAATATTTCTTATTATTACAAAAAATAAATAAATAATTTCTTATATCTTTTTAGATTTATTTTTTATCATTGACTATGTATAATCACCGGTAGTACTACAAAACTATGCGACCAGGAAATCCTTCTGACATTTAATATTTTTAATATATTTTTTAGATTTTAAAACACACATTTAATACTACAAATTTTCAGTAGCCCTTTTTAAGTTTTAACACACATATACTTTATTTATTTTTAGGGTTTTATTAATCTCAATTAAAGGAGATAAGTTATCTCATGTCATAGAGACAAATTTGTGGGCTCCACCATCTGAAAAAATAAAAAAGAAAAGAAAAGAAAAATGTGACACAGTTATCGAATGGTTGTAGGAAGGAAAACTTATGTCACGTAGCATGAGAAAAGTTCTTATTTTTATTATTATTATTATTTATTTTATAAATTTTAACGTTTTATGAGTAGGAGTGACAGTAAATTAAACGAGCTTACAAGTTATTTCATTTTCAAAAGGAAGAAGAAATTTGCAAACCTTATAATCGTGTCGTTGGTGACACAGACAGAGACACACACAGACACAAACACGCACAGAAGAAGAAAAAGAAAAGAAAAAGATTCTTAGAATCGTATCGTAACGCATTACATGGATCCAATTCCAAATCCATTCGCACCCAATCATTCCGATTCCGATTCCGACTCAGTGAGTTGCTTCGTCACTGATCTCTTCGAATCTCGCTCTTCCGACCGTTCTCGCCCATGTTCCTGCCATGATATAAGCATAAACCCCTTTTCTGGTGTCGTTTGCGATCTTCATCACGGGGAATTAGGGTTAGGGTTAGGGTTTGGAGGTGGCGATGATTCGGTGGGCGATAATTCCGGTGGGCTTAGGGTTGTTGGATTCGGTTCTGATTCAGATTCGAATAGCGAGGAAGGTGAGCTTGATAGAGCTATGGAGTTCAGTTCTGGTGTTGATGGTGATGATGATAGGGTTGGTGTTGGTGGTGCGTTTGATGATTTCGATGTTCGATTGTGTTGGGATAGTTTGTGTTTGGAGGATCAGAGGACACTGAATGAGAGTTTTGAATGGGAGGAGGTAGAAGAAAGGGTGAATGAGGTTGAGGTTGATGGTGAATCAATAGCATCTGGGTTTACGAATAGCGGCGAAGAAGCAATTAGGGACCTCGAATGGGAGATTCTCTTGGCTGTGAACAATTTGGATAGGAATTCTGGTTTGGAACATGATGATTCCAATGGTGCTGATTCGTATTTAGCTGTTCCTGAAGGTTTTTTTTACACTGCTGAGGTTGATGTTCTATTTGGGCAGTTGCTGGAGAATGATAATGGATTGAAGGGTAGTCCTCCGGCCGCGAAAAGTGTTGTGGAGAATCTTCCTCTTGTGGTGGTGGAGGAGTTGCAAGGGAAGAACGTGGTGTGTGCTATTTGCAAAGATGAGATGTTCTTGGAGGAGAAGGTGAGGAGGCTTCCTTGCTCTCATTGTTATCATGGAGACTGCATTTTGCCTTGGTTGAGTATTCGGAATACTTGTCCGGTTTGTCGGTTTGAATTGCCCACAGATGATCCTGATTATGAGCAGAGGAAATGCCAGAGGGCTGCTCATGAACTGTTGGAGCTTGCAGCACAAATGCAATTTTGACTTGTTGCTTCAGGTTGTTTGTAAATAGCAGTTTGCTTTGTCTGATGAGAACAAATCCCTTGTATTTATTTTTCATGTTGTTGTGGTTTTGGAATAAGTTTCATACCATATTGTGTGATCTGGATACTCAAGAAATGAATGCCTGTCAATACTCAGTTTATATTCAAAAAGTTAAAGTGTACCGTAAGAAGGATTATGTTTTTCTTTTTATAAACTTTTTAACTTATAATTATTGGATTTATGCATCTCTCTGATCAGAATCATGATGTATAAAATGTTGGCAATCTGTATATATCTATATAAAATGCTCAGAATCACCCCTCAACCTTTTGTCATGTGTTTTTCATTTGTGCTTATTTTTCTATGTTTTGACATGGACAAACGATTTGTTGTTTCTCTTATCAGAATTTAGAGAGAACGAGAGAGAAAAGAGAGAGAGTAAGAGCCTTGAACTCATGTGTATTTGATAAATGATGAATTAATACACAGTGTCTCTATTTAGAGCACGCAGATAACACGCTGAGTCAACGAAGGAAACTGACTCTGTTACAAACTAACAGAATGCTAAACAGAAGCAGTAAAGGTATTTTGTTGAACCAACAGCTAAGATAGGCAAACCTTGTCCGTTACCAATGAAGATCTGGTCTGTTCCAGAGAGTTGTTGACTCTGAACAAGATTGGCAGGGTTGGCAGTAACATGATGGCTAGCACCTGAATCAGGGAACCACTCAATGGAAGGTGCAGACGTCGGAAGAGGTAACAAGCCTGATTGAGATGCTACCATGGCTTGAGGTGCTGGATTTGGTTGCTGTCAAACAAAATGATATGGCTTCTGCTGTGTTGAAGCAAAATATTGCAATTCATTGGAGTTTGGTGGTGGAATATTAGGAACGAAATTTTCATCGAATCTGTACCAGCCATGACCATATTTGTAGCACAATTGACAGTGCACTTTCGAACGAGGACCACGTCCTCTTCCTCTGTTGTTGCGACCTCCAGGCTTTCCTCTACCTTAGTTCCCAGCATTGGAAAAACCAGAATCGCGGAACACTTGCGTCTGGTTCATGCTCTGGTTTGCGTTCTGCAAAACAGGGGCGAACAGAGGATTTGTGACTGACTTGTTCTGAGTTGAAGCAACATTTACTGAGGTTGGGTTGCTTAATAATGCCTCATTTTGCTTCAGCAACAACTGTTCGAAGGCCAACATCGCAATTGCGATGTCATCAACACCATAAGCTTTTTCATGGGAATGAACGCCAAGGACGAATGAGTTATAATCTGAAGGCAAACCTTTGAGTATGTAATTGATTTGATCATCTACAGACATAAGATTGCTTATCGCCTGTAACGAGTTACAAAGAGACTTGATTCTGGATAAGTACTCTGACATCGTCTTGGTGCCTTCAACGTTCGAAGCTCAGATCTAAGGTTTCTGGCCTTAGATTTCATCATTCCATGGAAGAGTTTATGGATTTTCTCCCAAGCTTCATGAGAATGTTTAACTCCTAGTATTTCATTCACTACGGACTCTGAGATAGTAGAGAGAAGCCAAGTTAGCAACATCTGATCTTGTGTGAGCCAAGTGAGATACTCTGGATTCACTGATTCAGTGTCTCAATCTTCTTCCGCGAGGAATTTTAATGGAATTTTTGGATTGGCAAGAAATTGTTGAAGCTGATGCGTTGTTATTATTGGTTCAACGATTTGATTCCAGAAATTTTCCTCTGTAGGTTTTACAGAGATTTGGTAGTTGAAGAGTTTGGAGCTTTCTCCATCAAAGGAGTTTGCGCTGTGATTTGAGGTGTTACTGTTTGGATTCTCATGGGAAGAAGATGTTGCGAAAGCCATGACTGAGCAAGAAATAGACCAGGCCCTCAGAATGAAGTCTGTGATACCATATCATGAAACTAATAATTATAAAATACTTTTATATAATAATTCATTACATCTGCAACTAAAAACATTTCTTATATCTTTTTAGATTTTATTTATTTTTTATCATTTACTAGGTATAACCACTGGTAGTACTACAAAACTATGCGACCAGGAAATCCTTCTGACATTTAATATTTTTAATATATTTTTTTAGATTTTAAAACGCACATTTACAATTATTATTATATTATTTTTTTTATAAATTTTAACGTTTTATGATGTGAGTAGGAGTGATTTCATTTTCAAAAGGAAGAAGAAATTTGCAAACCTTATAATCGGGTCGTTGGTGACATAGAAAAAGACACAAACAAACACGCATAGAAGAAGAAAAAGAAAAGGAGAAGATTCTTAGAATCGTATCGTAACACATTACATGGATCCAATTCCAACACCCAATCATTCAGATTCCGATTCCGACTCAGTGAGTTGCTTCATCACTGATCTCTTCGAAACTCGTTCTTGCGATCGTTCTGGCCCTTGTTCCTGCCATGATATTAGCATAAACCCCTTTTGTGGTGTCGTTTGCAATCTTCATCAAGGGGAATTAGGTTTAGGTTTAGGGTTAGGAGGTGGTGATGATTCGGTGGGTGATAATTCCGGTGGGCTTAGGGTTGTTGGATTCGGTTCTGATTCAGATTTGAGTAGCGAGGAAGGTGAGCTTGATAGAGCTATGGAGTTCAGTTCTGGTGGTGATGGTCATGATGATAGGGTTGGTGTTGGTGGTGGGTTTGATGATTTCGATATTCGATATTGTTGGGATAGTTTGTGTTTGGAGGATCAGAGGACACTGAATGAGAGTTTTGAATGGGAGGAGGTAGAAGAGAGGGTGAATGAGGTTGAGGTTGATGGTGAATCAGTGGCATCTGGGTTTACAAATGGCGGCGAAGAAGCAATTAGGGACCTGGAATGGGAGATTCTCTTGGCTGTGAACAATTTGGAGAGGAATTCTGGGTTGGAACATGATGATTCCAATGGTGCTGATTCGTATTTAGCAGTTCCTGAAGATTTTTTTTACACTGCTGAGGTTGATGTTCTATTTGGGCAGTTGCTGGAGAATGATAGTGGATTGAAGGGTAGTCCTCCCTCCCGCCGCGAAAAGTGTTGTGGAGAATCTTCCTCTTGTGGTGGTGGAGTTGCAAGGGAAGAATGTGGTGTGTGCTATTTGCAAAGATGAGATGTTCTTGGAGGAGAAGGTGAGGAGGCTTCCTTGCTCTCATTGTTATCATGGAGACTGCATCTTGCCTTGGTTGAGTATTCGGAATACTTGTCCCGTTTGTCGGTTTGAATTGCCCACTGATGATCCTGATTATGAACAGAGGAAATGCCAGAGGGCTGCTCATGCACTGTTGGAGCTTGCAGCACAAGTGCAATTTTGACTTGTTGCTTCAGGTTGTTTGTAAATAGCAGTTTGCTTTATCTGATGAGAACAAATCCCTTGTATTTAGTTTTCATGTTGTTGTGGTTTTGGAATAAGTTTCATACCATATCGTGTGATTTGGATACTCAAGAAATGAATGCCTGTCAATACTCAGTTTATATTCAAAAAATTAATGTGTACCATAAGAAGGATCATGTGGATGGTTTAGTTTTTATTTTTATAAACTTGTTAAGTTATAATTATTGGATTTATGTATCTCTGTGATCAGAATCGTGATGTATAAAATGTTGGCCATCTGTATACATCTGTATAAAATTTTCAGAATCACCCATCAACCTTTTTTCATGTGTTTTTCATTTGTGCTTATTTTTCTATGTTCTGGCATGGACAAAAGATTTTTTGTTTCTCTTATATAAGCTATTAGCATTGTCTTTTTGAGTAGTTGACATTTGTGTAGTAGATTTTTCTTTCTTTTCTTTAATTATCTGAATTTGTATCGTGTTGATATTTTAGTTATGCTGCATCTTTTGTACACTTTACATTTTTTAATTGAGATCAGATTAACATTTGATATTTTGGTTATGCAATATTTTTACCTGGTTTATCCCTTTAACGTTTTATAGCATCTTGTAACTGTAGGGTTAGATTAACACTTGACTTCTAAAATTATTTCATTACTCGACCTTAATCTTAATTGCTTGGAGTTGACTACTTTGGCTTAATATCCGGCTTCTTATATTTTAGTTTTATGTACAGTTTGAGATCACAGTAGAGAATCAAATTGGAGTTTTGGGCATAAACATATATTTTGAACGTCCAGCTATTCCGGATGGAGAAATGCTTGGTTGTTTTGATTTATTTTTCTTTTGCAACCTAGAGATTGTTATTCATTATTTTGCTGAGAAAATGCAAGAAAATAGTAGAGGGTAGAAAGGAGAGAGATGACAGAGAGTATTCTCTGTAAATCTGAGATTGTTATTCATTATGAACTATATGTAGAGTTCTGATATTTATCGAGTGGTCTAATTGCAGTTAGAGATAATTGCATAAATGGTAACAATCAACCAATTCTGTAGGGAACTGAATCTCAACTCCTAACAGTGACAACTCAGCTGTCTCCTAACAATTCTAACTGCACTGTCATCAATACACGTGCAACAACAACAGAATATATACTCTATCATGTAGTAAGTATTCTGTAATGTACTATTAATTAGAGCATAATAGGAACTTGACTGAGTATCAAAAAGGCATATAAGACCTGGGCCGATGGGCGTTAATTGACAGAATGATGTGTTATGTGCCTAACTCAATCATTGTTTTCCTAGTATTCTCGTCAACATACAAAATCCTTTGCAGTTCCTGTACATCCTCAAACTGTCTGATCTCACGCATATTATCCCCAGAGAGCTTAGCATTGAGGTACTGCTCATTATTTGGGTATATTTGACTGCATCTATGTCAAGTTGTCAGCATTCTTCTCAAGAGGGCTTTGCTCTTTATTCTCTTATTTGCAAACATTTGATTTTTTTCAATTTAATTTCTCTCAAGTTTTCTTCTGATTGTCCGTAGTGTTTTCACCTTGTTGGACTGGAAAAAATGAGATTGATCCTTTAGAAGAGGAAGGTATGATTCAGTCACCTCTACTTTATTTGTTTTGTCTTTATATATATATATATATATATATATATATATATATATATATATATATATATATATATATATATTCCCTTTTTCTTTTCCAAGTCTTTCCCCTTTGCCTCAGCCTAAACATGGGTTTCAAAGGAGAAGATTTGATGTGGTACTGGTACCTCATAGTTTTATGCTGATTTCTGGTTGATAACAAATAAAACAATACAAGATGACTATTGGTGCCTCATAATAATTTTGAACTTAATTCTAGAGGATGGACTAAGTTTTTATACTTTTGTTCAGCATTATCTGCTGGATAAACTGGTTTTGTTTGCTTACCTTAAACAATAATTTGCTCTCAGTTTTGGAAATTTGGGGTTTACAGTGTGTTAGGCATGAGCGAATGTGCAGCTAAGATCTATGATTTCCTGCATTGTTGTCCATATATATTAGGGTCAAAGTTGTTTCCATATCTGGAATTCAGTGGGAAAACTATAGGCCTGTTTGATTGCTACTTTTTGAAGTTTTTTTTTTTCAAA